AGCCGAGTATATTGTCTTTGCAGTCCTTGAAGCTGTGCTAGTACAGTCTGGGGGTGACTTCATCTGTATACTATTAGCCACCTGTAGCCCCCATTTCCAGATAGCTAGATCTATGGATTTGTGCCACACAGAGGCTAAGCAGATTTTTCAGCACTCCCCAGGTTTGCAGAAAAATCTGAAAATTAAAACAAAACAAAACATGGGGGGGTTTAAATCTCCCCCAAAGTGTCATACTCTGAGGACATACAGAGAACACTCCTTCCTTCTTACCTCAGTGCGGTGGAGCCTGGGAGCTGTGGCGGACCCAGTGATGGCCATGGCAATAGCAAAGCAGCCCAGGGGCTGCACTGGACAGTGGCTGCTGGAGAGCCCTAGGGCTGTATCAGGTTCAGCAAGGGGGAAGAGAAGGGGTCCCCCTCTGTGAGTCTTGCAGGTCCCCACTTGTATGTCTGTATATGTAAGCTCGCTGAAGGTGGTTTCACCAAGATCCCTAAGACCTTCAAGCTGATTCTGATAGCACTGCTGTGCTTGCAACCCTATTTTAAAAAGAGGAGAGCACTGCAAACAATCTCAACTCATTTAAAAGCAGTATTGGTATCTTTTTTAAAAAAAGATCGAATGCAGGGATGTCAAACATATGGCCCAGGGGCTGGATCAGGGCCTTGGAGGGCTGCAATCCAGCCCACAAGGCCCTGGCTGTTTCCTGCTTCCTTTTCCAGTTCTGCTGCTGCTGCTACATCACAGCTTAAATAACCAGATTCTCTCAGTTGCATATGAGAAATAGATAGACAAGCCTCTCCTGTGCAATTGAGAGAGTCTGGTAAAGCACTGGCTGAGGCTCCCTTGCCCTCCTCCTCCCAGGGGGAGAGGGAACCAGCCAGAGCTCACTTCCTGGCCAGGCTGCCTTTCTTTCCTTCCACTGGCTGAGGCTCCTCTCTGAAGGGAGGGAGGGAAGAAACAAGGGAGAGCTTGCTTTGCTGGGCTACCTCAATCGCACAGCAGAAATACCAGGCACCTTTGAGACCAACATAGTTTTGTTCAAGGTATGAGCTTTTGTATGCCTTGCTAGTGTGTGCATATTCTGTTGGACTCCTTATGCTGTGTGTGTTTTGTTGGGCTCCTTATCCCAGGACTCTCCTGGGTGCAACTGGGTTCCCTCCCCCTTTTCACTGTGTTCATGCCTTTATGATCCAGTCTTTTCCAGTAAGAAAGTCATGTGAAAGTTAATTGCATTTGTCTGTGTCCTTTATAAAGTTTACTAGCAGTAAAGCCCGTTGTGAAAGCAATACAACGGGATCTAGAAAGAGGCTCTGGGGCAGTGCTCTGGCTTTGGGCAAACAGTGTCAATTTGCTGTGGTGACCTCAGCAGGGTATAATGACAGAGTCCACTGTTTTCTCCAGAGGAACTGATCTCTGCTACCTGAAGAGCAGTTGTAATTGTGAGTGATCTGTAGCCCTCACCTGGAGATTGGCAGCAATTGTTACCCAGGACAAAATGGCTGGTTTGGAGGGTGGAGTCTATGGCATTCTACCTGTCTGAGGTCCCACCCCTCTGCAAACCCCACCCTCTCCAGGCTCCACCCCTCAAATCCCCAGGAATTTGTCAGCATGTAGTTGGCAACCCCATCTCCTTCCCAGCTAGCCACCAACCTACCATTATCTGCCCCTTTGACTTCAGCTGACTTCTGCCCTCCCTTCTGCAGAACAGTTGTAATACTGAGTGCTCTCCAGCCCTCACCTGGAGATTGGCAACAATGGTTCCCTATGTGGGACTGACTGGTTTGGAGGGTGGAGTCTATGGCAGTGTACCTGTCTGAGGTCCCACCCCTCCTCAAACCTCACCCTCTTCAGGCTCCATCCCTCAAATCTCCAGGAATTTCCCATCTGGAGTTGGCAACCCTATCAGGACTGGCCCCAATGTGTTTTCTCCCAAAGGCCAAAGTAGGTGACAGGACCAAGCTTAGTTGCCTACCAACAGGCACTGAGGGGAATGTAGGGTTGCCAGCTCTAAGGAGGGAAATACCTGGAGGTTTGGGGGGTGGATTCTGTAGAGGGCCGGGCGACGGAGGCATCGGCCTTCTGTCGCCCGCCTTGCCCCCCCAATCTCGGCCCGGGCGACCGCGGCTCCCGCCAGCG